TTCTTCAAATATCTATGGTTATCAGTATAGAACATTAGCTAATTGCGAGTATAAAGCTTTAAGTACCGGTTACACAATGTCTATTTGCCACTAGCTACAGTTTAAATATCGTTATCGACATTACCGACTCCCAGTTACATATTATGGAGATCCTCACGTCGATAACGATGTTTAACTTGCAGTTAGTGTTAACAAGACTTTGACACACACAACACATTCTGATACTACATTTAAATATCTTCGCTGCAGCGCAGCAAGGAATGCTAAAAATTCCAATAATTCCTACGGATCTGCCATTTCAATTTCAAAATCTGAAGATCAAACCCTAAAGGTGACTGGCTTCAGCTGGAAGAACCCTGATTTACGTATGGTCATTCATACATATATTTGTCATATGCTTACTAGCGAATTGTCTGAATAGTATTTGTGTTTATGGCGGCTGCTGTAGTTTAGTGATTAGCAGTGCGTGCTGCTATTCCGCAGGACCTAGGTTTCGTCCATCATCAACAAAAAAAAAGTTTTTTCTAACAACAACTGATGTTAAGGCAGCGATGGTAAGAAATTCGGAAAGACAAATATGTTTTAATAGTGGAAATTTGCGGTCTTAGCCTGACATTTTTGCCTTAACACAGAAATAACAATAAAAAACTTTTTTCGCAAATTCTCTAAAGGATCCTTTGATTGAAAAAGAACTGCGTAATAGTTATTCGTATCTTCTGAGAGTTGATATTTGACAAGCGCCACCTGTCATTCAATAGTCGGAAAAAAGGAGTGCGCCTATGCCATACTATTTTGATTAATTTTATAATGTCGAAAAATATATTGCTCTTAAAATTAGCTTAAGGTCCCGTATTGGTGTGATTGCTTGTCATCGTATGTAATAAATTGATAGTGGTAGGTAATGGTAATGGTAATAATTGTAGATGATGGTAATGGTAATTGCAATCGAAAAGGTAATAGTAATGGTAATAGTATTGGTTTTGATAATGCCAATGGAAATGGTAATGGTAATTGTAACTGGTAAAGTGCTTACGAATGGTGACGGTGATGGAAATGGTGATAGTAATTTTTTAGTAATTGTCGTGGTAATTTTAATAGTTATGATAATAGTTATGGTAATGGTAATGGTAATGGTAATGGTAATGACAATGGAAATGGTTATGGTAATGGTAATGGTCATGGTAATGATAATGGTAATGGTAGTGGTAATCCTAACGGTTATGGTAATGGTAATGGTAAAATTAAAGTAATGGTATTTGCTTTCGTATTAATATTCGAGCTCATATTCACCTGCATATTAGTATCCGCATTCGCCAGTATGCATCTACGTGATTGTGTTTCATTCTATTCGTCTTTGACCTTTTTTAGCTCAAATAATCCAAAACAACTTTGTCGCTGTGTGTTGGATAATAATGGTATGAAGATAACAACCAAAATTTCCCATATACCAGATGAAAGGAAATCACTTTGGCATTTTTGTTTGTAATTAAAGAAAAATCTCCAAATCATTCCACGCTTTTCCAGCATTTTTATTGATAAAAAATTACCCAATTTTTTCCAATTTTTTTGCTCTATAGAACTTAAGTTCCGAAAATGAGAGATAATATATATCTGAAAAATCTAAGTTGCCAGGGCAATTTAAAGTCTCAAAATTTGCAAAAAAAAATAAGCTAGTATATCGCACTATTACTGATGGTAATTATCAAACATAATCAAAACAGTTCATATTAAGTTTAGGTACCCTTTTAAGTTATTCTAAGTTAAAAAATTTCGGAAATCACAACCTCGGCACATATTTATATCTTTGTAACTACAAAAAGTACTTTGTCTGTAAAATGTGTGTAGCATTATTGCCGTGTGAAAACTATGCAAATTATCACTTCATTAAATTATTTGGAAGAAATACAAGGAAACTGGTAGAGGAAAGAAAGTTTTATTATCATTGCTGAAGGAAGCAGAATTAAGTTAGTTTAGCGAGTAGTAAGCAGCAGAGGAATAACTGCAAAGGTATGCAGGTAAATATAATCGTAGCAACAGCCTGGGACTGCGCTTCGATACGCAAGCGTGAAGGTGTGAGACAGCCCATGACTAAATACAGTGGGTATTAGTGAGTACACCCAAAGGATAACTTAGCTTAATTTAGGTAGTGAAAACTTTGATGTGTGTGTGTGTGTATGTAAGTATGTATGAACGCTAGTGATGGCAGCTAAATGAGTGTAAGCAGAAAGAAGAAGTGATAAAGCGCACGGGCAGCAAAAATTACAGAAAAAAAGAATCTTAAGGTTGGTAAGAAAGTGGTCTAGCTGAAGTCAGATGTAATGTTGCTATGTGCCTGGAAGAAGCTAAAAATGCCAGTATAGCTACATGGATGGATGAGCGGCAACATGGTAGCTAAGTGAAATTTATTGGATTAAGAAAAGGTTGGCAAGCAACAAAAGTAAAGCAAAGTAAAGAAAAGAAGGGTTAATTTAAGCCAGGAAGAAGTAAAAGTGGCAGACATTGCCTTTTGTGCTGACTTTTAATAAATCTTTAACACCTTCATTTGATACTTTTTTTCTATACTAGTAGCAAATGGACTTGCCTGTGTTAAACAGCTTTGATGACTCACATATACATATTGTGGAGCAACTTTTTAAAAACATTCCGCTTAATTGATTCCTATGACTCATTAACACTTTAACGACGTTTATTGGCATTTAAAGAGTTAATTTTTATATATTCAAAAATACCATTTATCAAAAAAATATTTCCCTTCGGCAAGCCTGTGCCTATGCAAAGCGCGAAAACCAAAAATATCTTAATCACTGCGAAAACTTTGCCATCACAATTTGCTCTATTCGCTCTGCCACGTCAACATTTTATGCGCATTTCTGTATTTTCCACAAAATCCATAACATTCAACAAATGCTCGTGCGTAAGCGCGTGCACAAATGCGTTGCGGCAGTTAGTTATAACGAAGGCGCACGCACAAATTAGTCTCAGTTACGTATACGCCGTGGCGCACCCCTTCAAGTGATTATGGAGGTGGTGGTGGTGCTGCTGCTGCTGCTGCTGATTCTGTCGTTGCTGATGCTAATATCGCAGTCGTCTTTGGCGTTGTTGATGCACGCACAGCAGCTGCTGCAATGAGTTGCGTTGCACAAATTTCCAAATTTCGCGTGATTACAAAACCAGGCGGCGTTGGCAAATGATTAATGCAAATTTCCACTCAGAGTACTCAGAATGAATGTAATCATAGCGCGGGTGTTGCAAATTTAATTTTTTTTTTACTAAGCAACGCAGGCAAGAGCAAAATATAGGAATTATAAAAGTTTAGATAAATTTCTAGCAGTCCAATTCGTTCCTATCAACTTTTATTACTTTGATTTGGAGTGTGCCTCTAGTTAACTCATTCATTTATTTTGTTATAATTGTTTAAACCCAATTAACCACAGCGCAGGTTGTTGCCCTCATTATCTATTTAGTATTTTTACTCATTTATTTTGTGCAATCTGTTGCACTCACTTCAAACTTAAATAATTACGCGCCAACAAAGATTTTCTATTTCAAGCTTGCGCCGAACTTATAGCTTCTCGAATCAGCTATTGTCATTGCACTGTTGACTAAATAAAAGTAGTTGCGCGGGCAATGCAATGGTTCAGCAGCAACGAGGCTAATAAAATGCAGTTGCGAGTGCGACACTTAATTTTGTTATTTCAGTCTCATTACTGTTTCTCAAGTGCGCGCTATGAAGCAACTCGTTTGTTGTAAACAACGAATAGGGAAAGAATTGTAGAGAAACAATAAAGCTGAAATACTTAAAAGTGGCGGATGCTGTAAATAATTATTTTGTCTGACAGGATTAGAAAGCTCAATTATTTTGCACAGAAGAGGGTATTAAGTACTTGAGAAGTCAAAGACCTGGCCAGAAAATAGCTTGATGGAGATGTCACAGTAGATAATTACTGTACAGATACCAAGCAATAAATCGATAAATATACCAATAAAGGAAATGATATATGCTTATCAATACATATATATATTGCTCTAAAAAATCAGAAAATAAAGTATTTCACTGAAAAAAGTTTTATAATTTTTTTTAGTTTCTAAAAAGGATTCGTGTTTCGTGATTTTCAACAATATAAAAAAAAAACTAACAAAATATTCAAATGCTAGCTACTAATTAAAATTAAATTTTCCAAAAATATTTTCGTTGGTTTAGATTTTTATTTTTTTATTTATTATTTAAATTGAAATTGGTAGCATCCCTCTTCAAACATATTTTCGAAGTTAGGCTTACTCATAACTTTATCGCTTGAGATTTTTACTTAATTAACTGATATTTGTCTTAGCCTATTTAATAAACTGAATTAAGTTTTTTAAAGAAGTGGCAACCCTATTTAATGATATTTTCAAAATAAAACTTTGTTAAGTTTCTCCAATTTGACATCCATACTAAGGAATTTTATTCATATTTTAAAGTAAATTGATGAATTGATGATTGAACATATTTTCGTTTTAAAGATTTATTAAGCCTCCTTGCCTTCGATATTTTAAATTATTTGTTGTAAATTAATTTATTAATAACTATATTATATTATAAATTAAATTGATATGACCTTTTCAAAGGAGGGAACCCTCTTCAAACATATTTTAGCTCTAACGATTTTTAAGCCTTCGTCAATTTATGTAAATTAAATATAACTATTTAAGCAGGTGGCAACCATCTTTAAATATTATTCTTGATACTGTTTAAAGTCATAAGCAGGTATGGGCAGAGAGTGAGCAGTTGTTTAGTAGTGTCATCATAGAAATATTTTGCAACAAAAAGAAAATTTTGAAAAAAATACGCTTACCTTATTTTGGAGGTTAGGGCTCGATATGCTCTTCTGTTCGACTCAGTTGAACAAATCCTACTTTCACTTGAGTTTTAAATATGCACACTCCAATTTTGCATGACCTGTATGGAACTAAAAGATAAACCACCGAAGCGCAAATTGAAGCCAGAGAAAAGTAAAAAGCAAGTAGCGTATGTTTGAATATGTAAACGAATGTATGCATTGGCAGCAGGAGAAAGTTTCGAATGCCAGCATTTACCGCGCTTCACTCATATTTACTGGTATTTACACAAACACATACGTAGTCAATAAATGCATAACGAGAATTTTAATGGACTTTAAATTGAGTTTGAACTTAAGCATACATATATCCATGAGAAAGTGTAAGCAGAAAAACAGAGACGATGAGTTGGGCTAAAGTGAACACAAATCGTAGGTGGAGTGGGAAAAAGGGACACAATAGCAAATAACGTCAGCCAACAAAAATATGAAGGCGGTTATGTTGATGCTGGCAGTAAAGGTGCAGCGAGGAGATATGGCAATCGCTATACCTTTGAGATGCCAGCATTTCTTATGCACTAAAAGCTTTTCTGCGTACTGGCGGTGAGGCTGCAAGTCAGCTTGTGGCATTAAGGTAGACAAAGACAATTGAAGCTGTGCAAACATACAGACATGCATGCAAAATATTAGATACATTCTTATGAACATACAAAAAAATAAATAAAAAATAAAAAATTTAAGGTTGTGAAACTTTATAAGTAAGCTGGTTCAAATTTTGTTTTGGAATGCCTCTTGGGACTGAAGTATTTCACGTAAAGTTAAGTGTAATAAGTTAACGATGAGTTTAAAATAGAAAATTTGTTCACCAAAACCGTTTACGTATTGTTTTGAGGGTTTGTTTTTAGTGCTGCGCGTTAATGCTCAACAAACTCGTCGAGTAAATGTTAACGGCAAAAGGGAAAACAAAATTTTCCCCTTTTTTTAATCTGAAAATTTCTAATTTGGCATTAAAACCAGGAACGGAAAATAATCATAATTTTTTAAACTTCAACCAAAACAATCAACAAGTTGTAATCGTCGTAAAATAATTTTAACCATACTCACGTATTTGTGTTTGTACGTCCCACTGTAATGATTTTTATTTTTCGAGTTTAACCAATAAAGACTAAAATTAATAATTAATATTTGAGTTTTAATTTTTCGCTCAAAGGTTGCTTGATTTTTATTTTTCGATCACAAATAATGATTATTTTATGAGTGACTTTGGAGGTGGATAGCTCCTACTTCACAACCCTATAAGGGAGCGATGATCAAAATAGCTGACGTCAGAAAGGTATTAATATCAGAGATCTGCATGGGCTACTTTTTTTTTTAAACAGCCAACATGATTGTTGATAGTATCCATCGCTTATCAGTTATTTTCGTTTACGAGAAAGGAAGAGAGTAATATACAGTTCAGAAATATTTATCTTTTATCGTGTAACATTTCTGATGAAGCGATTTTCGCAAAAATTTTTAAATGTTTTGTAAATTCATGTTTCAAACTACATACTATAAGATCTTTATAAAGCCCCCAACACACAATTTATGAACTAATAGTAGATGAACATCTCTCACTACGAAGTCGCGCCTTTTGCTGCGCTTTGGGTCTTATAAGAGTTTTTTAGACCCTATTGGCGAAGTATTTTGGTCTCGGGCCCAAACTAAACAACAATTGTAGTGCCAAATAAAAAGAACAAATGCTAAACAAATATGGGTTAACACTTTATCAAAGCATCAGCCATTTGCTGTACAACGACTTAACGGCACATTGTTAAGTGGATAAGTGTCCTGCTACTTATTTATGTATGTACATATAATGATAGCATTAGCATACATTTATTTTTTTTGTTTTAACAATTCAATGGCATAAAAACAATATCATTAGCTAATAGAGTCACTTAAGAATATTCGTTTTGTAATAAAAACGAGCAGCATTCAATATTTTTGAAGACTTGTTATGCATACATACATATGTAAATAAAGACAGTCTGCTATGGCTGTTAACGGTAGCCATTAAGAACAAATCATAAATGGTGTTTTGCTGCTGCTAATAGTCTTAGCGTCTACTTATATTTAGTATGTTTCTAATGTGTTTTTTTGTGTTTGTTTTTGTTTTTGTTTGAGTGAGCTGCTCCAATTGACTCATAGAGCGGCAATAGAATTGCCATAATCGTCGTTTTTTTTATGTTTGGTTTTCTTTGTTTTGCTTTGTTTTTTGTCGGGCTTTTTGTTAAAAGCTTGCCAACAACGGCTGCCAACAATGATGCTGCTGATGATTTCTGCATTTGCGTTTTAATTTTTTCTCTTGTGAATTCTTGCTTCCGCTGCTGGTTGATGTTCTGGGCTGATGCTATTTCATTTTTTTTTTTCTTTTTATTTGTAATAGAGTGTACTCTTGGTTGATGCAACATAACAATTATAATTGCTGATAATGGTGATTGAATTGCTATATATGTATACAATTTTTGATAGTAAAGTGATGGAGGGAAATATTATGGCTAATAACTCATAGGTGCATATGTAAATATTTAGGCATTTTGGCAGCATTTGTTACCTTAATTTAAATTACTAAATTATTTACTTAATTAACTTTATAACTACTAGTAACTATTAAAAAAAAAAGTAAAATTTTAAAAAATTTAAACGAATTTTTGATAAGAAATCAATAAATCCTTGCTCTCACTTTAATTCTGCAAACCGAAAGTCTGCAGCCGCATGTCTATGCTATAAATTCCTACAACCTCAATTAAAAAAATCTGCTTAATTCTAAACTAAACTAGTTTTCAACTCCCACAGGCTATGTCTACAGATTAGCATTGAAAGCATATTTTTCCATGGGCAACATAAATCTAAACTCCACTTCAATATATGTACACATTCAGTATATGCATATGTATGTGTGTGTGTGTGTGTATGTAAAAAAATCATGGCACTAACGAAAATGTGCCAGCCGCCACCATGAAGGAAGGAAATGAAAACTAACATAAAATACGATAAAATGTGAAAACTCTTTGCATCCTCATAATATTGCATTTGGCAAGCGTTGCTGATCTCATAAATTACAAAAATCGAAAAACTTGTTGCCAAGTATGCTGACAGGCATTTCAACGTTGTTATCGAAATGATTTGGCAACTTACAGAATTTTACGAAAGTAAAAGCTTTTTGGTGGACAAAGAAGACTGATTTTTTGCTCTAAGCTCGCAGCACTACTAAATGCTTTAAGGCTTGTAATGATATTTAAAAAATTTTATACATAATTAATAGGGTAGGGAGTGTAGTGATGGAATTGATAAACTCTTTTTTCCTATGAAAGCAGCAAAGAGAACACATATTTTATCAAAACAATATACGTCAAGCGAATTTTAAAATTACTGGGAGAATAAGTAAGGATATTAAAAACATTTTTTTTTAAAACAAATTTTTTTGCATGAAGTGTTTTTATTTTTGACCTTACTTTTGGCCCAATGCTAATGTAGAAAAATTTAAGCTTAGGATAATCTTCTGATTGTAATATTCTAGGTAGAATATTTAGAGGTGAAACTGCGTTTTTTACCAAGAGCTCGATAGGTGGCGCTGCCATCAAGATATTGGTTAAATTGGTGTTTATGTTTCGATTAGGGTCATACCCAAATAAACAAGTTTTTGCGAAAAATTAGCCGCATATACATATCCTTATAGATAAATGTGAAAATGATGAACTCATCTTACAGCGACGAACGGAGGTATTTTGGCTAAAATCGAAGAAGTTTTTGGCTTAAGATTCGTAGGGTATTTAGGTAGGAGTCGATATACAATTGGTCAAATTGGCGTAAGTAGCTTAATTTAAATCAAATATAGGTCACCTAAGTAAAAAAAAAAACATTTTGAAAATTTACGCGCTAGATTACGCGAGAGTCAAGTTATCGGTAGCCTAAATAAAATCAAAAACCTTAAAAAAAATTACACCTCCTCCACCTACAAAAATGTTCCAAAAATCAAAGAAACAATAATTAGGCGCAGGCATATCTAATGGAGTTGTATTTATGAAGAAAATATGAAAGAAAGCATAACAATTTGTAGCATAGATATTTGAAGCGGACATACTGGTTTTTTTTTATTTATTTCCTGTAGACTTTTGCGTTATTTATATACAGATTTTGTCCGGGCTTACTTCTAGTAAAAATTTCCGACGAGTAATTTTCTAGAGCACTATGACCCTTTGGCGGCCTCCCGAACGGCTATTTATTGTGACGTTCCAAAAAAGGGCTCAAACGGTCTTTTTGTGATGGATATAATGGGTTAAAATTTTCTAAAAAATTAGTTCCCGTAAATGCCATACAGCAAAAGTTGAACTATACAATATACAAGGCATACCTAGCCCTCTCCAAGGTATCCAGGCTCTCGAAGAAATTTGAGGCGTTTTCCTCGGGGTGCTGGGCACTCGCCAAGGAAGTGCTGGATGGATTCTATCTCCTCTAATTTCTGCAGCTTCTGGAGTAATCGTCACACGGAGCTCCGAATCTGGCGGCCATGTGGCCAGTGGTCCAATGGTGCAGCGGCTCATCCACTTAATCCACTTTTCTACGACGTTGGTTAAGCGTTCTGGCTATATCTCATGGATGGCTTGCACGTTATTCGCCTTAACTGCCTTGTTTGCATAACATAGGTCCTTCACAGCACCCCTAAAAAAATCGGACGGTCTCAATTTGTGGCTCCAAGGTGCCAATTGACATCGCCGAGGCGGCTGATAACACAATTACAGAACTGGGCGCGCCGCTCTGCTTCTGCAATTTTCGACAGGAAATAATCGTTTATCATGCCTTTGTAGCGTTTTTGGCAAAGGGTGCCACCAATCCAAAATCCGCACCAAACTGTCACTCTCTGAGATTGAATTGGCTTTTCTCGATCCTCAGATGCGGCAGTTTTGCTTGTTAACATAGCCGCTGAGATGAAAATGCGCTTCGTCAGAAAAGATGATTTTTCCAGCAAAAACGTTGTCTATTTGGTTTGCATTAAATATTTCCCAACGTTATTCAAACGTAAAGCGGAAGATGATGAAAAAGAGAAATAATAGATACGTATGTACATATATAAGAGTGGTCCAAACAATTTTTTTTCTATATAGGGTTTGGGGCATCTTCCAAATTTTCTCTTCTTGCCGAAAGAGGTGCTGGTAGCAAACTTTATGTTTCTAATTATAAATTTAGGGGATGCTCATGATGATCATATTTTACTCTAAAGTATTGTGTAAATAAAGCAACTTAAGCATATTTCAAATTTAAATTATCTAAAAAAATTTTATAAGCCAAAAAAAATTTTGCCAGTTCAACAGCAATCCAGTGGCGCATTTAAAGGCCATTGAGCACCCTGTATTGGTTACATTTGATGACATTTTTTCCTCCCATACAAAAATTGGACCACTCTAATATATATGCAAGGGTGAATTTTTACTGATTTAGAACTCGTTTAACCTCTCTTTAAAAGACGCATGAAAACAATATCCATTATCGTCATCACCTGTCTGCTCTTTGCTTACACATCTCATTGCTCTGCCTCTCCACATTACCCACTGTTTGGCGCCATTTTCAATTGTTGATTTCTCAGCGCTACACAATAAAGGAAGATGACACGCTCACGCTCACGCTCAACCGTTGACTGCCTGCTACCCCTACCAGCTCTCTGCTACCTGCTGGCTGATACTTTGGCAGTATTATCTGCGGAAAGTATAATCATCTAATTGTTTGCTTTTAACTAAAATTCAACTGAATGGGGATTGTGGGCGAGAGTACATTAGAACAGTTTAGCGGCTAATGGCGATGACAATGAACATAAAAGCACTTGTACGGAACTGTTGTTGCCTGCAACACAATTACGATTGCATTTAATGTTGTTGCAAATAGCTGCGTTCATTATTACACCAAATACTTTACTTTAAGTGAAAATAGTTTTACTACATGGAAGGGGGAGAAGTAAGCGGAAGCAAATATCCATTTCAATTAATGAATGCAATCATTTTACAGTTGTTGAACTATAATTGTAGTCGTACTTTCGAATGCAACCAATTAACAAAAGTGGCAACGCTTGTGAGGCAAGTAGAGATACAGT